GGGCAGGGCGGGGGCTCGCCGCCTCTTTGGGCCGCTCCTTTGGCTCGGGCCGCCCCCTACACTGGTAACCTTATGGGGGAGAAGGAGGTGTAACGAGCATTCATCAACTTTCATCATCGCTGAAAATCATCATTTATGATAAGTGCCCGATTACCCAGTAGCAGCCTGTTATTTCAGGCCGTGACTCCGTAAACCCCGGTCTGGATCGCCCCAGGGCAGCCCCCGACCCGGGACCTTCCGCCTGCAACCGGGGAAGGGAAACGCCTCCAGGCCGAGGAGGGGCGGCTTCGCACCGGGAGAGCCTGGGGCGAGCGCGGCGGGACTGCGGGGCTGAGAACGGGGCGATCCGGCCCCAGGAAATCCTGCTCACCGCCATCAACCTACCGGAGAGACTTAACTTCTGGGAAATAGAGACTTGCAGGTCAGCTCCGTGACTTTAAGGCATTCCCCCCCCCTCCTTCTTAACTAAACTATAACCAAAGTTAGTTGGGTTTTTTTGTTTGTTTGGGAGCATTTTTTAATTGTTATGTTTAGTTTCTTGCTTTTTTTTTTTCCCTCCAATGAGCATGACTTTAAATATTTTTAAAATGTACAGGTTGGTCTAATATAAAGTACTCCGTTAGTGATAGCCTTAGGCCAGTGGAGTTACAATAGCAGTACACACCCCACCGCCACCCGGTTGTTTTAAGCATTCTAAAAAGTTCCCAATAATTTATAAAGCATTGCTGTAACCTGTCAAAGCCACCAGGGAGTAACAATAAAGCAGGAGTTGAGGACACCCATGTTACCAGCAGAAAGATGCTGGCAATTTATATATACCAAAACTTATATTCACAGTTTATATACACCAAAAAGTATTCGTTAGGCAACTGGACTTTAGGCATACAGGACTTTGGGAAGAGATGTGCTTTGCAGAGATTAAAAGCAAGTGTATCAAAATCAATTAGCTTCCAAAGAACAGCAGCTCAAAGCATGCAGTTATGTTGTGTAAGTCCTAATCAGGGCCAATTAGCAAAGAGGTAAGAGGTGAATAAAAATACGGTAATAGTAAAACATCTTGAAAATTAATTTTATCACACCAGTACAAGCTGTGATGCCATGTACCACACCAGCTCTTTATCATGAACATTGTTTTACTTCATAATTGCCCAGAACTTATAAGGTATATAAAGAGATCTGTAATTCCTAACAAAGAGGGTTGTTCTCATTTCTGGCAATAAAAGCCATGGTAAATGACTGATGTGTATGTTAAAATTAACACCACTGAACAGGATGATGACATTCAATGCTCTAAGCACATCTGCAGTATTTATACACCTCAACACTAGCTGCTCTTGTCCATGATAATCCGTTTTTCAGCTCATCTGCTTAACCACCCTGTTTCATCTTTTTTGTTCCGAGATGTCTTTCATTCTGTGCCAAAACAAACCAAACCCATGTATGTGTTCAGTTTAACTCTTGGTTTTGCATAATGCAAGTGAAACCTAACTCCTTCTAGCCAATATATCAGGACTAATTTTTAGAAGCTTCAACAGTGTAAGGCAACACGCTCAAATAACATACTGCTGTTCTTCCTTAATGTCATAAAGGGGTGAATTTTCTTTCCCAGTCCCTGCTATTCTACTTTGCTTAGTTAATTAGATTTGGATCCTAGGATGTTCTCGGATCATTACTTTTGCTAGTTGTGGGGGCTTAATTTATAGCATAAACTATGGATTATGTTATAACATTTTACTAGATCTCAAATCAGAAGAGAATTGAGTTCACTTACGCTTTGGAGCAGAGCTTTCTTTGGCTGATACTCTGGAAAGGTTATCTTCTTTCACTTAATCTCCTATGTTTTATTTTTATAAACTGATTCTCTCACTGAGCTAGGCATTCTCAGTCCAATAATTAGTAGAAAAGACAAGCTTTATACATATCTGCAAGTTAATTGGAAACTAATGGTGAGGAATTAAGACAGAGGAAACTTTATACAACATACAGTCATACATAATAAAAACCCCTAAAGTAAACAACTCTTCAGTGTTGCTGCCCAGACGTTTCCAAGTTCTACTTTTCCCGAAAAGTACAGAGAGCACCCTTAAGCATTTCATGATCCACATCTTAAAGGGTTTGCCAAGTTGTATCATTTTACCACAACTGGCAGCTCTGAACCTACCTGCTTGTATTTGAAGAGCTCACTCACATTTTCGTCCAGGCTGGTTGTAAAGTACATCATTGAGTTGAAAATTTATGGAGCCTAATGAATGTAGGTTGCCACTTTTTTGTTATATGCAAGTAATGTGCATACGTTTAATATTGTGCAGATCAGATGCAGGGAAATGGACATGCATAAAGGCCACCTGCAGTTCTACATCCTTATCAATTACACAAAACAACCCTCACTTTAACAACAATTCAGCCACAACAAGACTAGAAGGCAACTTGTGGCCAAGGTGGGGTTTTGAGTAACAGAAAATCAGGAGGAACACTACAGGGAAAATCTGAAAAGCACCTGAGAGCTTTGTACTGGAGCGATTTTAAAGAACAGTTTCATCTGTTACAAAGCTCTTACCTTCAAAGCTATGAAACACTTGATCCAAGTAGAATATTATCTTGTATTATGTGTGCACAAATATGTGGTTGACATTTAGTTATCTAGATTCCCTATGCAAAAACATGGAAATGCATTTTTCTCCCCATTCTAGCACATTCCTTGTGTTTACCATTCTTATGCTCACTCTGATGCTTATTCATACCCCCTTACACAAATGTATTTGACACTCCTCAAAAGCAGTTTACACACATCTAAGAAGATAACTTAAAAACAGCAGGCACTGAACAATAAATTTAAGCTATTCCAGGTCTCCTAAGAAGATGAAAGTATGTGTTTCCTCCATATGAACTGCAGCCAGTTGCTTCGTAGAAACTTGTATTCAACATTTTCAGGTGAAATAGCATCAGAAACAGGAGGTTTTTGCTTATTTACACTTCCGAAGGCTGCTATTAACTGAACATGTTAGACTTGCATCACACATTGAAACAAGAAAACTACATCTTTTAAGCATCACGTAAGACAAGTGACATGACTGTAGCCAACACTGTATTTTTGTGCTTTACATAACCACCAAAGCAGTGGTTTAAAAAAAAAAAAAAAAAAAAAGCAGGCTACCACCAGTTGTTAATTCTTAACAATTAAGAACAGATCTCTCCCAGCATGACAGGCCCCCACAATCCTATGCAGATATTAAAAGCACTTTACAGTTTTGATTGACAGAAACCTGGCCTAAGCAGTCAAGAATTTTACATTTCATGCAGTCTAAGCTAAAAGCAATGTATTAAATAACTTGACCCTGGTAGAATTTGTTCAGGCCTCGCACTCGTTGACAAGACTGTGTGTGGCCTGCAGTTTCTCAGACATTAATGCTGTAAAGAAAGGAAGCATTACACAAAAGCTGCATTCTCTCTGCTGTTTTTCCCCATCCCTTTTTTCTATGTTAGTCTTCTGCCTTTGTCTGTGTATACATAAACCAGGGAAAAGTTTCAATTTCTGAATGACCAGTAATCAGTACTTTTGGAAAACAGCTATTCAAATCATCACTTAGACTCACTTTGGCCATGGTATTGCTTACATTCTTCTATAATTCTACTGCTACAGAGACTATTTTTTATTATGTTAAGAATTTTGGAATAATTTATAAACAAAGCCAGCACATTTATAAACAAAGCTTTTTATTAATAAAATGTTTACACCTTTTTTTTTGCACAATACATCAGACTGGTAGTGATTTAGCATGTTATTACACTATAAAAGTTTATTATGAATGCTTAGGCTGAAAAGGGTGTTTACATTATGCCAAATCAACATTTCTTTATTTGCATTCTATGCACTATATGGGAGTGTAACAATTCAAACAAAAGGAGAGAACAAAAGCTTGGTTTTCTTCATTAGCATCTACAAACCAACAATACAGACAAACCTGTACACGCTCTCAGGACCAGCCCAAGAGAAGACTAAAAAAAAAAAAGTCTCAAAACATTCATAAGCTTGGGAATTCATCACTACAATATTTCATCACTAGCAATCTGACTACATTTCATGCAGTGAAGCAATGGTTGTAAATTTGTGCAGTTTACAGTGCTGCAAATGCTCTGTAACTTTGAGCGGCTTAAGTTTGTTTTAATAAGAGATACTATAATAAGAAGGCACAGACCTTTCAATCTTTGCAACAGGTTAACCCAATCCTATAATGAAAAGGCAGAACATTCTTAGGAGGGACAAGAATTGATGATACAAAGGTTAACCCTTCACGCTTAATTTTACAGGCAAACATTTATTACACTGCAAGAGCTATATGCGTATCAGGTTATTTTTGTGCACTAAATACACAAATGCAAAGTTTCTTGTTTGGAAGAAACCTTCAGAATGATTTTATTTTTTTTTTCTTCATTGTACTGGGAATGTTGGGGTACAAGGGTGAAGATTGCCAGGAAGTCTTAGGTGTCTTACAGCTACAGAAATGCGATCCATTTCTGTGTCTTAAATGAGTTCACTGTGTCACAATTTCAATGTTGGATACACAATATTCATAAACAGGAACTAGAAAAAAAGGAAGTTAAAATACAGAAGAGTTTATTTCATGTTACTAGAGCCTTATAATAATTTGCTCCCCCAGGTGAATGTGCTTTTAACCTTTGTTATGTGGTATAACACACTAGTGGTACATGTCTCAGCTGCTGTTTTCGTAACAGTTTCATAATGCTGTACTAATGAATTACCATTTTGTTTACAAATATTTGCCACTGTGACAGATACTTCTAGAACCTTTAAGGAGAAAAACACATTCACCACCTGTTCTTGGCTAAATTGCATAAGGAAACAAAGAACAAATGATCAAGAAAACATAATGGATTTAATAGGAAATACATACTGTAACATGAGTAAAAGTGAGGCAAGATAGCAGTAGTGAATCTATCTAGGTGTCAGAGTTACAGCATATCCAAGTGCAACAACTGGATGGAGTATCACACACAGATGAAGAGCGCAGCAGAAAGAGGGTCTGTATCCTTCAACATTTGAAAAAGTAGTAACAGGTTTTTCGATAATACATTATGTGAAAACAGTAACAGAGAAATGAAGCAAAGAAAAACTCAACCTTCTTAAAATAAGAATACCTTTACAAAGGTAATTAGCTCCTTAAATAAAATTGTTAGTGTTTAAGTAAGAATTTAAGAACCTCAACTTGCAGGATGATGTCATAGGAAAAGCAAAATAGTTTCTTCTTAGAAGTCTTTATTCTGGAATGAAAAGAGTTTCAGCAAATGCTGTCCCAATTTTTAGGGGGACAAATCATCCTATTGCCTTGATTTTCCAGGTAAAATAGGAAGCACCAAATAACTCTAAGACAACAGAACTTTTCTGAGTATTTCTAAATAGCTGTTTATAGCATGTACACTCTGACAACACTATGTTAAAAATTGGGGGGGCAGCGCAGGGGAGAGATGGGAAGGAGGAAAAAGCTGACCCTAGGATCATTTTGACATGTCAGAGACTAAGCCCATCAGTACTCTTGGGTTGCAAGATAGTCATATATCCCTTGAAAGATTTGTTATCTGTGACATTTTATGGATAAAGTTTGGTAATCCTGCTTGATTTTTCCAAGTCATGCATTCAAACTTCTGAGACCTCCAAAATATCAGAAGGGATTTTTCAGATACAAACGTTGTGGTGTCAGAAGGCCTAATAATTTTAGGGAAATATGTTTTGGCACCTGAATTCTTGTATAAACAACAAAGATGTGGTTTCAAGTGTATTGCTTTTGACAAGCGGGAGCCATGAGACTCTGAAAAAGACAGCTGACATGACTTTTTTGTATTAGAACCTGTATTTCTATCTTAGATTGGTAATTCAAACCAACATCTCATTTCTATAAATCTTCTATCACCTAGCATTACTAGGGGTGTGATCTATTACTAGGAATGTGATCTGACCATAAAATTTTAAGAGTTTTCTGTATTTTGTGCAGATCTTTTAGAAGCTTAATTCCAAGCACACAATTCTCCTGATTCAAGTAATTGACTTGTGGCATACAAACAGTCTCAGTTGCTGTAAAACGACTTCCTGCTAAAAAAGTTAAGAAAGTTTGTCCTTCTCTCTTGTTCATGAACAGAAGAGCCTCTTATTTTAGAGGTTTAAAGTATTGAAGAGAGATACATGTAGCTTTGGAACATTAATAGGCAGTGTAAAAGTTGAAGTCAGTGAATTATTCAGGTTCTCCTCGTGTTTGAGATTATTTTTTCTACTTTTATGTAGCTATTGCTGCTTGTAAGTGAGGTTTGCTACAGGGCGACTAGCTACACAGTTCAGACAGCTTGTCCTGTAAATCATCAATTCCCAAGATAGTCTTTGCAGACTGCTGACATAGCACACCACAAATAGACTACACCATCCTTAATAAACACTAAAGACTGTTTCACAAGAACGTCATTCAAACATCACTGCTAAAGCTTCCTTTTCCAACTAAATATGTTATAATGGAAATTTACACTAATGTTAAGGAATAATCTAAGATTAACACTAACAAAAACCTTGTTGAGGCCAACTTTTAAACCATTCTTGATATTCAGCCTGAATTATTTTTTGGTAATTAAAAATGAAGCTTTAACCATGAATGCAAACAGCTCCCAATGAATCCCACATCTCTTAACCAGGTTTAGACTTCCAAATCAGTAAGTAGGCATTGTCTCCTCTCCACTTACTCTTCCCAAGCTTGTAAATTATCTTCCTTGAGCAGGCTGGTGGCATTAAATTGTTATGTACACCAACACATCAAACAAGTCTACATAAAACACCCCTCTAAACTATTAACTGTCTGATCCTGTAGCACTTAAAGGAAGGGTCTCACTCACATCAGTAAGGATTTGAAGTGCAATTATTTGTTTTGTTTCAACACAGATCCAATAACATAAACAAAGTCTTTACCTTCTTGGCAACAGCAAAAGTTGTTAGAATTGTCTTAGAACTTTTCAAAGCACCTATAAAAATTGTCAGTAGTTTGACCATTAGATGCTTCTGTTATTAAACATAAGCTCCCAGATTTCACCTACTTAGGCATTTAGTATGCCAATTTTCAGCATCTATATAAAAATATACGACAAAACCACCTACAGCATAGATCAAGAGTCTGGCAAGTTAGCTAAGAGACTGTTGTGATTCAGAGGGTCAGATGAAGACACCCTCCAAAATTTAGGGAGCAGAGTTAAGTTGCTCCAAAGCTTAAGAACTAGATATTTATCAAATGATGTATTGATACAAATCTGTTAAATTTTATGGGACAGAACTGGTGTTGTTTAGAAGTTGCAACAGTCATATTTTGTCAGTTAGAAAATACTCTGGATCAATGGTATGACATGCACCTCATTACATTTTTACATACATGACCCTTTACCATTCCAAACTTGTTTTGCAGCAATTAATTCCCTTTGAGAGTATCTGAAAGTCTAGTCTCTATGATAAGCTCCATTCATTAAGCAGAAAGGCATAGTGGAATAAAAACTTCAGTCCTGAGCTTTTTCAACCACTTCTTAACAGAAAAAAAGATATTAAAAATTTAGCTGGAATGGTTGATCATCAGCACTCCAAACACTCAAAGGCTAATGTATCTCCAAATAAAGCAGCTATGTTAGGACAAAATACAATCAATTTTAGCAAGCCTAGTGCAAGATGAAAGCAGATAGCCTAACAAATTATTAATACAGAAGAAACCATTTTCCTCCAACAAAAATGAAACAATGAACACGTGCATCTCATCAAGGGAAGACTGCATTCCGGCTTTCAGCTAGGGCCAACTGATCAATAAAAAGAACTCTACATCAACAGTCCATCATTTTAAATAGGCATGTGTTAAGAAGCAGCCTCTCTTCAGTATCTATAGTTTGGACAAATCTGAAACACTGGCTATTTCCATGTTTTCATTATTTGCAGTAATTCAAGATCAGAACTGCAAAAAGGATATGAAGTATGCTGGCATTCCACTCAGACTGGTAACAAAACAAAAGGAGTCCAAGGCATTAAGACATTTGAGAAGGGCCAGATTATTGCTGCTTCTTTAAGTGTTTTGGAGTGGGTTTAACTTGGTTTTTTAAGTCTAATTTTGGCGTACAGCAAATAAGTGAGGATAGGTCACAAAGCAGATCATGAAGATTTGCTAAGATATATGGACCTCTCCCGACTGGAAAGAACTACAATAATGTCAATACTAGTCTAGCTCTCAATCTTTCCTGGAGTCCAACATTTTCTTCTCAAGTCAGTAATAAACCTTGGATAAATACTATTAAACCATTTTTGTTAGCTCACTGAAAAACAGATTTAAATTCCATTTTTACCACATGCTAACAGGCAATAAGAATAACTTAATGTCTGAAATTCCTTTTTCTACTAATCTACATGAAAGATATTCCCAATATCTGAGACTTTCCTTCTCCTGTGATCCTTCAAAGTTCAAGAATTTCCAAATTTATTACTAACCAACTTTAATAAAAGCAGTATTTTCTGTATCACAGTTAAGATACTAAAGCACCTGGCATCTTGGTATATAATAGACTTCTGAGGCACTGTAAACACAAAGTGTTTTAAAAACCTAGTTGAATTAGATAACCATATAATTTATTTTTTTTTAAATTGCTGGGAGTAAGAATTGAGATATTTCAAAAGAAACTGGGTTCCACGACTGCCCCTGTGAAAGTTCTACATTTAATTGCTAACCTCCTTTTTGGTAATTAAAAATATGCCCAAGAGCAAACTTACTCTGTTCTTTCTTTACTAATTATGTTTCTATCAAGCATTTTGTAAGAGTACTAAAGTTTTCTGTTCATAATTTATTTGGTTTGAGCGACATAAAAAAATAAATCATACATCAGACTCTACACCAAACACAAATCCATCTCTACCGTAAGATGCTTTGTTAAAGACCAATTTCCAAAGGGGCTTCAAAGAGTCTTTGATGAAAATACACTTCTTGGGCTCTCTATAAGCACACAGCCTGTACAACTGTGGCAAAGAAGGTGTAATCAACGATGCAGGGTAAGTAAAAGGTGTGATAAAAGTGTAGTCACCAAATTTCATTAAAACATACTGATCCATTCAAAATCTCACTGTAACAGTTCACCTGTTTTGCTCCAGAAGAGCTCTACAAGAATTTTCACTAATACAAACTAATGTGAAGTACAAGTCCTTTCATTTCTTACGAACTCTTTGACATTTCTGTCAGAAAATACTTGAGATGATAGAAAACCAGATTACAAAACAAATAAGCATCATCACCATTATCTCATTTTGATACTAAAGCTAAACAGCATATTTTAATATATACTCAAGTCTATTAAGCTCATTTTCTTTAAAAGTATACCGTTTCTCACTAGTGCTGGTAGGAAACAAAAAATAAAAATAAATAAAATAGCACAAATGGGTATGGACAACCTATACTTTAACTGAAAGAGTACTAAAACCAATGCAGAATAAGCTAACCACTGATTTGCTAAAAACCCTCACAGATGAAAAAGCCCAGGAACCAAGAGGTAACGATCTACATTACCATGTGTCTTAAGGTTACTTCCTATCTGTATTTTTGTGCCCAAAAGAGGAAAGACTGGGTGCACCACAGATGAAAACTTGTTCAACAGACAGACCTCATGCTGCACCAACAGCATTCCCTATTGGCCCTTTCAAATGTGATTGAAAGGGAAAGAATTTCAGTCTGCCTCTGGATGAACTCACAGTGACAATACCTAAAACACAGGAAAAAAAACCTGATGGAGATTCCCCAGGAGTTTATCCATAAGTGTGGAATGGAAGGAGTATATGAGATCGCATTATTTTTTTACTGTTTTTACATAATTTATAATACTTTAAACACTGGTCTCATAAATATAATATGAACACTTTACACATGCCAAGCAATTAAAAGCTTTCCCCAAAAACTTTTAGGTCTTATCAGAACCACTGGCAGCAACTGTTTACAGCATCTGTTTTTAGTCAGTAACCACTTAATTTAGTCAGAACTACAACAACTAGGTTTTCTTCAACCAACATCTTAATATTAAAAAACTTGTAGGAACAAAGAGATGCCTATAAGCATATCAGTTTGCCTTAAAGTGATTAGAGTCAGCATGAAAGAAAGATTGTCTGTGGTTTAAGATCTGTTGCTTGTGTCCCCACCCCCGGCGCATATCAGCTTTAAATAAAAAGTGCAAATGGGATTTGGGGACTGGATGGACTGATTTGCCTACTATTTATCTTCAGTTGCTTATTCTATAGCCATCTCGCATCAACTGTCCCATCATACTTTGGATTAGCTACAATTAAATCTAAAATAAGGCTCACTGAAGAAAAGGAAGAAATGACATCTAACTTCCAGACTCCTCCCACCCTTAAGTCCCACAAAAGTGCTCATTTCCCTTTTTACAAAAACACCCTCAAAATCTTGATTACAAAACTATTAAACATTTCAGTTCTACCATCCATATAGTCACCCTCCTTTCAAGCAAGGCCAAAAAAGTGATGATGGATTCCCTTTGAATGCAAGAGATATTACACTTTTTGTAAGTAAACAGGCTGACTTTACGATTGCAATCTTCTCTGCGAGTGTACAGATGTCAGATAAACTGGTCCATTTTTGTGGGACCTTGGGTGTATGAACACCAGCAGATAAAGATCTAAGACTGATAATATAAACCCAACGTGAACTATTAACTTCCAAGACCACCTACTGTATAAACAAGTCTGATTTTCTAAGGGATCAGTCAACAGCAGCTGCGCTTTGTCACCGATGGCTGTCTTCTAAGTTTGAAGCCCTTACCACTAGATGGGGGGTTGGTGTCAGTTGATGGAATTCTGCGACCTACAGGAAAGCAGAAAAAAAATTATAGCAAACATTATACCTGAAACTAATTCTAAGCATTCAGTGCACATTTTGTCCACAAAAATGTGCCCTTGATTAGTTATACGTTACTAGTGACGACACTCCTGCGTAACAGAAGGATGGCAGTTAACAGTCTATACTGTATCTGTAAGAGGTATGGTTCCACAAAAGAAGAGGCAGTTTTAAGCTAATTTTGCAGTGTTTACACTTCAGACTAATCTAGACTTGGGAGAGCTAAGCTATAAAAGCACCCTGAGAATATACTCCGCAGGATGCAATACCATCTGGAATATCTTCATCAAGAACCACCATCTTGACCCGTATTTCCACAGTACATCACCTGCAACAAGCTTAGCACATAACTACTTGCAAAGATAACTGCTTTAGTCATCTAATCAGTCTTTAAAATTAACTATTCCCAGTTGACTACTCTTTTGTGAGGAGGACTTATGATTTTTTTTTTTCCCTCCATATATCCAATTTTAGAGAGCAAATATTAAGTCAGTAAATCAGGAAGCTTATCTACAGCACATACTTTTTACATCAGCTTCAATATATTCAACTGCTTAGAAGGACTCTAATGTTTCTGTAATTAGTCAAAGCTAATCTGCACAGCACGCACAGAAATGGATTGCTGTTTGTCCTCTTCTCACAAACAGGCTGATGTACCTGCACATTGGTGCTGCTGCCTGAAACATATTCTGCAAATAATACTGCACAAAACTCACTTTGGAATGCCGTCTGCTTTTCATTCACACACACAAAAAATTGTCATTGTCATCCCCAGCATGAATGAGACAGGGAAGATTTGCAATTTAATTAAAAAAAACCCTCCAAGGTATCACAAAAATACTTGTGAAAAATCTACACACAACAGTTGCTATCTCCCATGCAGTAATCTTGCATTTATGAACTCCTATGTTTTGAAAATGCACTGGTTTAGATTAAGTACAAACAGTAAGAGTGAGAACTCAATTCCTTTTCTCAGCTGTATAAAGTTTTTATCTTCCTCATGCCTTTTCCCTTCCATAACCTTGGAAGTACCAATTGAAATATTCAATAACATATAGTAAGATGACACTGACTTCTGACATGAGTGCCCTGCTTGCTATTTATCCAGCAGCATCACAGTAGGTTTAAAATCTCTAGAAGGAATATTTAGAGGTCATTAGATAACCAAAAATTTATACAGCTCATTTTGCAGTTTGTATTCATGTCTAACAAATTTAAGTCAGCATATTCTCAACTAAATAGAACAAAAAGTAACACATTAATCAAATTTCTACTTGAATTTATTTCAGAAGAAAGCATGTTATCCATTTATATACTTACTAATTTCTATAAAGAGTTCATTAATGTTTATTGCATTCTTCGCACTTGTCTCTACAAATATTGCATGAATGGAATCTGCATAGTCTTTAGCATCTTTTTCCATGACTTCTCTGGAAAAACAAAGCAAAGAAAAAAAAACTATGAATGCAGAAAAAAACCCCATTATTTAAAGTCTTAAGGGATGGATTAAGCTTTTAACTGTTTCATTTAATGAGTATTGTGTATTTTACCTGTTTGGTATCACAGTGCTCCCCTCATCCTGAAGCTGATGCTCATTCTTTACTCTTTGCTGTCTCCCTACCTTAAGGTATGAGCATCATTGAAGCACAATCATAAACTAAACAAGGCTTTAATCCATCTGAAAACATTACAACGCAGTTTGTATCTTGAGTGCTCTAATGTAGGTCTGCAATCAATCATCAGGGGGTACTTTATTCTTCACACACACACACCAGTTTTAGATGTACTGAAAAGATCCTGAAGCATTAGTTCCATTAATCCAGTGGATTTCCTACAGCTGTTTACAAACCAGTATCTCACAATGCTGCAAAGATTGTTAGGAGAGCATTTACTTTAAGATGAAGCATGAAGACACAGCTATAAACACAAATATATTTAGACTGAGCACACAACATAGCCAAGGAGAGAAAAAGTTATTTTGCACCCCTAAATAGGGAAGCTGATAATAAAAGTGTGTTTCCATAAACAACATGAAAAAACAAAAAAATCAAACCCCAATAGGTGGAAAGAGGACTGGACTATACCTGGTATACTTCACATGGAGTTTCTAGAAAACATAGGCTACTTTCAGTAACAAGGGACTTAAGATATCAAAAGCACATACTTTGGATCAGTGACTCAAATACTGCCTCTGACTAAAGAGCATGGAATCTTGCTCATTAGCTTGAATAGCAATGCTTACATAATTTATGATGCCATCTAAGCACCAAGAAATAAGCAGGTGAGACTTAATACTGTATGCCTTATATTTGTCTTCTAAGTAATTTTATGCCATACTTCCTTTAAGAGACATGCTACTTCTAACAAAAGTTACTAGAACTCACTAGATAACTGCTATAAAACAATTTGTAAAACTACACTAAGAACCAACTTTGCAGTGGTTCTTTAAACATATAACCATCTGTCTCCTTTGAGACACCAGCTGTGGTACCATTTCCAACAAAATCTAAAACCAAGAAGTTTACACACACCTTCTTTCTGAATTTTGGCTTATTTAAGCAGGACATAAATAAAAAAGGGCTTCTTTTGTTTTTAGTACATGCCTCCTTGAAAATGTGGCTGTTCATAAAGTTTCTCAAGAGCTTTTCCTGCTCCCTGCAACTATTTCAGCCACAGCCAATTCCACCCCAATATTTAAGCAGGGAAGGAAGGCACCTGAACAAGCAAGTCAGAAAAACCTACACAATGCTTTCCAACAGTTTTGATGTTTTTCCTAACAAAATGAGGTGCTACAGACTGACAGGAGTACTTCTTATAAAGTGAGGTAAACAGCTTGTATTACACTGTCGTTTCACAGGCAGTTTAGGCTTGTGTAACTTGGCACTGCCACCAGAAAAGGTAATCCTGTCTCCCTGTAAACTGCTCATTCCTAACCCTGCTATCCCACCTCTGTTATGCCAGCAAATGTTCATGGTGTGAGAAAGATAAATACACTTGGATTAGCTTTCCTTTTTTTCAAATGGTTAGTTTTAATCTGGATCCATTTTACAGCCTGATTTACTGCCCAGTCACACACGTACCACACCAGCACAGAGGAGGAAAGTGGGCAAGACTGTCCAAGGGCAGACTAGCCAAATCTTCTGACAGTCAAAACAGCTCAGACCCCTTATAAAACTATAATGCTTGTGCAAAACAGCTTAAATCACTCTCTACCTTTCACCTGCTTTGAAACCTTGAAGTATTTAGCACTACAAGCTTAAACTAAAACCTCCAAACTATCAATAGTTACTTACCTTACATCATTAAGATCACACTTATTTCCTGCAATAGCTACAACAATGTTTGGAGGTCCATGCTGTCGAAGCTCTTTAACCCAGTTCTTTAATGTTGAGAAAGTTTCCTAATATGGGGGTGGGGTGGGGTGGTGTAGATTAAGAAAAAAAACAGAAGGAATTAAGAGTCAGAACTAGCCCATGACAAAAACCCCCAGAAATTGTAATGCTGGGTCCAGATCGGATTTCTTACCTCTTTTGTGATGTCATACACTATTATAGCTGCTGCTGACCCTCTGTAATACATTGGAGCCAAAGCACGAAACTGAAAGAAAGACACCATACATTACGAATCTGATCTTCCACTGACCTCCGTGGTTTCCTTATTAATGTAATTATTATTGAAGAAAGTGAAAACCAGCTTATAAATTCACATTAGTGGAAAACATTTCTTTACAATTAGAGAGGCTTTGCAGTAGAGCACAAACTTCCATGAAAGTATTGTTTCACAAAGGCCAACCAATAAACTGTTTGGGGATCAGCAGCACATCTACTGCAAAAAACAGGAAGCCAAACTTGACCTTATTTTGACTAGATTAGAATCTCTCATTTAGAAGACTGTAGATTATACACAGACACAAACTCGCAGGATATATGCTCAACTTCAAACACCAAGCAAGGGGAAAATAATCAAAATTGAACTCTTCTTCCTTTTTAAGACACTTGCTTTTGGACAAAAAGTACTTTCAAGTAAAATAGTATATATTACTGCTGGTTTGAAATGCTGGATCAGTCATGGCACTCAAATGCTAGAAATGTTGGTTTCTCCATAATCAAATTTATGGCTGTAGGGATTTTCCTTAAGATTTTCTTCCAAAGTTTGAAGCATGTTTAAAAACTGCAGAAGCCCACAACTATATGATGTCTTGCAAACAGAGCTTTAATGAACATGCTAGATAATAAAAGGCTAGAGTAATTTTACTGTAATTTTCAGAATTAAATCTACAGCAGGCATATGAGGTTGGTACTGCATCTGCAGGGTATAAACCAGGTTAGTACCTTTGCATGGGCAGAGCGTTATGAATTCAGAACTGAAAAAAGTGACAGAACACATGATTAAAGTTGCATCAAAAACACCAATCAAGCATTCTTAAAAACAGTGTGATATTCTGTCAATTTAAAAAGTACCATACAACTAATCTAGCAACCAAAACTCTCAAAGCACCGAGTAAGCTGCATGTACTGCCTTGATGTTAGCATATGTAATTTAGAGTTTTGTGCATCTTATTATTCAGGGTAAAAATCATGAATAGAATACAGTTTTTCACAAAGGCTTTGTTGGTTCTAATAAAATATCAATTTCCTTTTGCTTAGTACAGTTCAACTGAGAGCACTATTATAAATCATAAAAATCTTGCTATAAAGAAGAAATCCAGACCATTTAAATTTGGCTCTCGAATTCTGTTTCGAAAAGAGGATTCTGAACACAAAGTTCAGAATATAAAAATATTTAATAATGGGAAAGGAAAACACGGGCAGGCATTCAGTTCATGTTGGGACATAATCCCTCTCTTCCTCTTAAGTACTAAAATGTAAAAAGAAACATATTTGGTAAACCACCACTTGGACTGGTTGCAACCTGGCTTTTTGATTATTTGACTACTTATATTGGGAATAAACCAACTTTCACTTGCTGATTTTCTATCACTCATTTCCTGTCTGCTAACACTTAGATACTTTTTTCCACCTAAGAGCAGTCGGCAGATAAAATATATTAACAAAACAGATGTTACCAGAAACACTGAATTTGCCTTTTGCTATTTTTCCAAAGACTTCAGCTTGCCCTCCAGCCTCCAATTTATGTTTTGACAGAATTATTAAGATGACATAATGTAATTACCCAAAGACACTGTCAAAATTATGAGGTAAGAAGGCAAAAATCCCAATTGCTATAAGTAATCTATCAACTTTATTCAGTGTAGAAGAAATGAGAGAAGAAATAAAGCATGCATGTGTAGGGAAATGAGCTGTGTGAAGTGAATTAGTGCACATTTCCACCTTTGGAGTGAAGCTGGCCAGCCAGCCACTCCCTGAAGCCATTCAGAATAAGGAGTTGCCCAGTGTAGCGGCTGGGCTTTTGAAGTGGAAAACAGCAAATGCTCCTCAAGCAGCCAGGACTATGAATGCTGTGTATTACACATCATAGCTCAGCAGAGACATTTTAGTTCCAAGAATGTGTGGACATTTTTGGTATTCCAGATCACTACAGAAGGGATCCCTGACATAACTTATTGTCAGATGTGTTGCATGACCAGAAAACCATGCCACAGATTTCAGGTCATGGCAGGTATACAGACCATTTGTGACTAGCAGCTAAGTGATAGCGCAGTTCTGTTTTGGAGAAAGAAACATCTATGGAGATACTGGCAGCATTTCAAAGTAAATATCCTTGCTCCTATTTTACTGGTTTCCTTGGATATACGAGGGCCTTACAGTGACTTCTTTCAGGCATGGAACATAAGCTTCACAGATACCACAACTCTTGGGTCAGAGCCCAGGTAAGACATCTTTCCCTTTTTGATTTCAATAAAGATATCATGCAACTAGCATAGAAGAAAATTAAAGAGATATCACTCAAAGTCTAAAAACAGAAAGACAAGGAACATGCTAGTCATGTACAGAGATGCTTCCTCAGATCATAGTGTGTGGAATCCAAATGACAGCATTCTCCTATCGCTTGCAAACACAGTTAAAGTGAACAGGATGGAATGCTAATATGTAATGGATGTTTCCTGCCAAGTTGTGGCAGGCATGTTTATAAAGCTTTCCATTTAAGAGTAGCAGCCTCTCAAAATTCATACTCTACACCTCTCAGAGACTCACATTCCAGCATTAACGTTTCAGAATGGGCTAGGATGTTCACTAAAGACAAACTATTTACAGCAACTGCTGACTGACTGCTAGTAATGGAAGGACTGGGATATTTCTGATAACATGGATACTTATTGGACATATCCCTGGGACACATCCCTGACAACATAAGTTTGCTTTATATGGTGCTGCTGGAAGGAAATAAATTGTCATTCAAAATCTGAAATGCAATACAAATATACTTGAGTTACTTTCCAGCTACCAGGGCTGTGATCAAGCTAAAAAAGCTAGCAAGTCAGTTCTACCAGGACCCCAAAAGGTCAAGTAACTCTGAACAGGGATCTCTAAGCCTTTACAAGGGCTTTTTGTTGTTGTGTTGGGTTTTTTTTATTGTGGTGGAGGTGTTCCTTTTGTTTGGGGTCTCTGTTTAACAGAGCAAATCCTGAAAAACAGTACAGCTGCATTTGCCAGTTATTATCCTAAAGTAATAGGCCAACCCGATCAAACTGGCTCTTACTGGGGACAGCTCTGGTATCTACGTCGTTATAGTTTGCTCATATCCCAAATAAACTCAACACAAGTAACTGACAGTTGCCAGTAGTTAACAGTCAAGAAATTGCAAGAACAAGCACTGTTAAAACAGCTACTGTAATTTCTACCACTTCTACTAGTAATCCATAAACAAATAAGTTAACTATCAAAGTCTTCCTTTTAAAGCCTAAGTAAAAATCATGCAAGTCAATTAACTCTGATTTGACTAGTCATTTTCTTGAAAGCTTCTCTTGCCTCCCCTCAGAACTATACACACTGATCAAAATTTCAAAATATATTTCTTGACACAGCTTCTAACACTGAGATTGGAGAAGTAAAACTTTACAAAATAAAAGATCAGTTAACACACATAACACTGCTAGAAACACTGCTTTTGAAAGCCTAAACCCACACCCTATTCACATTAGTAATGCTAACACTGAAGCTAACAATGTTTTAGCAGTTGTATATTTTACCAGAATCAGGGCCTTAACTGTATTATGAAACATGATCATTCATTCTCATCTTGCCAGTTGCACTGGCTGCAAATAGTGCAGCCAAAAGCTTAAAACTCAGCTAGAACTGGTAGTAAAGATTTAGTTGCTGGCTTCACTCCCCACCTTGTTTTCTTTTGAAATGGCACTTGCTTTCAGTGAATCTAAACGGAGTCTTTTGTTTTATAAGCTCCTCTTCTTAGTTAATCATCCTTAACTTTGTACTTTAACCATGGTAACAATGAAAAATAAACACATTTACAGCACCCATATCTTGATAGGAACCTGCATAGAAACAAACATTCTAATAGACATTCATAAAATCTGATCACCTTGTGACTTTCAGGGGCAGGGCTGAAAAGCAACCCAAACTCTAGCCAGAACTATCACGACAGATACTGACTCCACTTACCCGCTCCTGTCCAGCTGTATCCCAGATTAGGAATTTATGCAGCTCATTTTGATACTGTACAGTCTTGGTCATAAATGAGGCTCTGGAAAAAAAAGTTACAGCTTATGCTTTTCAGAATACAAATAAATTTTTACAACGTTATCATGAACTTTTAAAGAGGTTTACATTCCAATAAAAGTGCTTTCCTCACCCACACATGCAAAACTGATGAAGATTTTCATACATAAAGGCTGAAATTAATGAGGCAAAGGGACTACAGAAGGAACATGATGCATATTATAAGTTTTTACTGTTCATAAGCTCCTGATAAAAATAAAGGATGTATGACCAAAAAACCAGGAAGGTCAGCCTTTTTAACAACATTCTTCCTAAACGCAGGAAGTCATTACAATGTCTCACTTAAGTATATACTGGAAACTTCCAGGGGAAAAGAGATCAAATCTTTCACTTTTATATCAGGTTTTTTTCCATCTCTGTACTAACATTCAGATAAATACTGCCAAGTCCATCCTTGGGAATAAAATATGGGAGATTGATATCACTATTGGTAGGTGTTAAGAGGACTGAGAAATCAATGAGTAACTTGCTTCTTGTCTGTGCTCTGTACAACTCCCAAATCCTGTTTGTCATTATAATGTTCAGTCTGCAGAGGTTCTTGCACTTCCAGAAGACAAGCAAGCAAAAAAAACTCCCTTCTCCTATGCTCCAGCTGCCCACCCACCTCAACTTCTAGATCTTTTACAGTAAAATATTGGAAAATATTGTAAAGTACCTTTGCGCTTTACATGAATCAGTGTATTTCCACAAGAACAAGAATTCAGAGACCTAATCTTTTACAAGAGGGAGATCTTTGCTACATCTACTAGCTGTAGGTATATTTTTAGTAGAAAAGACAAATGCTTGTAGGATAGGAACTATAGATGCCATAATAAGCATGTGAGATTCTATGTTACGATCTTGAACACCTTTTGTACGTAATTTCTGTCACTTAAAAATACTGCAGACTTCCAAAGTTGTTCTGCTGTTCAGTTTTGGACATGATGCAGGATAGGATCTTGGAGGTGGCCTGTACTGGAGCTTCTTACAGTACACTAAGCTTGGTGCAGAGTCAGAGAGCAAGAGTCTTCCAGAATGATGAACAACATTAAATACCAAAGTCCAAGACTCTGAACTTCAGTTTATCTTGGGTCTTAAGTATCAGTAGGGCATAGATTTTAATGATGTCTGTAACACTTTTGTAGTTAATATTAACTGGAGTCTTTGCATATGTTTCAATATTATAGGAAGACAAAACAGCTATCTACATTAAAAAAAAAAAAAGGGGGGAGCAATTACACAATGCTTTCAACCGTGAAGAGGTAATCTTCTCCCCATTCCTTAAACTCAGATGGTTTGCCAAATAGTATGTCAATCTCCAAAGTTGATTACTCTCAAGAATCCAAACATAAGGTTGCAGCATCCCTAAGAAAAAAAGAAACTAACTGTAATGTGGATATGTGGATATGTAGATGATGTATTCTAGCAACGAGTAACAGAAAATAAAGTGATAGGAGTATGTGTTGTAAAGCACAAAGACTTCCACTTCCTTAAGACTGCTCCAAATTAAGCATCAACTCTGAATTCTCTGGACAAGATGGAAATAATTTCCCTAAATCATAGTTTCTCACTGAAGTTTATCTATCATGATTCTATAAACCATAACATTCCTGTACAGCCAATCTGATCTGAACAGCTGCATTGCTCTAATTCACATCACAACTAAATATCACAAAGGGTATCTGACAATAGAGGTTAAATGCTTCTTGAAATTCTTTGACAAGTGGAAGCTAAATAAAAAAAAAAAAAAAAAAAAGAAAAACAAACAAAACCAGAACAAAGAACAAACAGTTCAGACAAACCACTTTTGGGACAACAAAAGCTTGCAAACTAGAGCTATTCTCAACAACTTCTAATAAGAAAACAGGCATTTAGCCCTACTAAATTTCCTAGCTGCTTCTCCCAGCCAAGTATGCACTATAATTACATGAACAAGATGCACCTGAAAGTAGTTTTATACTCATTCATAATTCCTTTTTGATGTTATAATGAAAGACCTACAGCCTACAGATATACACTGGTCAGGTAAAACAAAATGTGTCCGCAGAACCCAGAGAGAACAAAAGTTGCAGAACTCTAATAGGGTTTCTACATCTGCCCATGTTTGAACCTGAATGATGAACACTCATGACAACACAGTATGATTGCTCAGACAATTCCAAAAGGAATGGAAACAGAGCAGGAAACAGAAGATTGTGGGTTTAGTTGTTGCTAAGAAATTGAGGACTTTTCAACTTCTCATGTCCTGCTAGTGCACAGGTACACAAGAAGCTGAGGGTGGGGGGAAGCACAGCCAAGACAATGGACACAAACTGGCCAGCTGAATAGCCCATATCATCTAATGTTATGCTCAGTATATAGACAAGGACCGATTGGGAAGCTCACTTGGGTTTTCAGGATTCTCTCTTTTCTGGGATTGGGCTGGGCATTGAGTAGCAGGTGGTAAGCAATCAACATTATATGTTACTTATAATAATAATTAAAAAATACAATTTTATTTTGATCATTAATATTTTTATCCCAGCCTATGAGTCTCCTTACCTTTACCCCTCCAACTCTCTCCCCCATTCCCCAGGGGTGGGGGGAACATGAGCGAGCAGCTGTGTGGTGTTTGGCTGCTGGCTAGATTTAAATCACCACAATTAGGAAATAAGAACAAGGTCTAGAAAAAGTTTCAAAATTAATTCGCCTAAAACTGTGGGACTGTATTTTATTGGAGCTTCACACAATCCCTGCGTTTGGGCAAGTTTTCATTCATTTATACTACTATAGCAAACTATCAAGACACCAAGTCCTCAGACCAATGAATGATTTTGTTAAGACTGCTGAAAGCTTTTTAGTCTGTCACTTCAAGAATCTAATCTATACTAATCCCAGTACTGCCATTCAACCTGTGAAGATAAATTCTATTCTACGCATTAGTCTCATTACTGCAACAGCTGGCATCTTTTAATAGCACCTTGAGTTACTACACAGTATCTGTTAGAGACAATCCCCTGGGAAGATGTGTGTGTGATCTCTTTCGGCTCCCACCTTCCAATAGACAGGTGCTACATTGGAGGGAGGAGAAAAAAAAAAGAAAAAAGAAATCAACTGGCACACCACACAGACAGAAAACTACCAGATTAGAAGAAACTGACTTTGGAGGGAAGACAACAAGATTTGATGAAGTTCATTCCAGTCTCAGCCCTTCTCTGGCAGGAAAAAGAAAAAACACCAGAAAACTCTCTCCTGAGTTTTCCCCAGATTATAAAAAATTCTACTTTGCAGGGATAGAAACATCACAGATCTCAATCTTCACTCTGCAGCTTTAGACAGTCTTGCAGACATGCAGAGCCCAAAGCCATCAAGCACAGCATTTTAGAATTTAGACTCTGAAAGCAGACTGGAGAAGGCTGCAGTTCACATGTGATTGGAGACATAATGCATATTCCATACTGGGTTACTCAAATCTTTAACCCATGTAGCCTACATGTGTGGTGACATATGTCTAACTATAGACCAGAGCATCCCAGCCAAATAATTAAGCACCTCTCATCTGCAAAACTTAAGTCTGTGTTACCATACCTGGTCACCTATTAGTTAAGCAGACTTCAAGGTCTCTTTTCCCCTAGGAAAATTGCATGAACACAATGGCTAAATTTGGGCCACCGTAGATACAACTCGCATTAGCCAACCACTTAACAGACTCTGGATGATTAGGAACGAAGATGGAGAACCAATTTCTCAAACATCTGAGGTAATAACACCTGGATCTTTCAATAGTGTCCACCTGAAGAAGTTTTGCTTGCAGTTGATATGACGATGGACAGTAGGTCTGAACTTTCTATACAACCTGAACTTGTCCCCCTACTTAAGCAAACAGCAGTATCACTACTATCCACACATCAATTTCGTTGTCCTCCAAAAAAGACCCTTGAAGATCTAAGAAAAATACTTAGCAATCCATCTCAGAGGCTACCTTTGTTAACAGGGAAATTTAAACAAAAGCATACTTCTTACAGAGTATCTTGCAATTTGATACCAGTATTTAGACTCAGAAAAAGATGGGGTGTAGGGGAGAAGAGAAAGAGAGATCAGAGGAACCACTTTTTTTTTTTTTTTTTTTTTTTTTTTTTTGAAGGGCAGGATGAGACACAGCTGATCTTTATCAACAGGATCTTTTCTGGTCAAAGCTAAAGTAGAGGCTGTGTGATACCCCCAGACAGGAAGTTGCACTGACACCCCGCCCCCACTTCTCAGCATCAAGTGAAGTCAGTCCTCCTGTAAGTAAAGAATTACTTCTGAGAGCAGCAACCCGTAAGACACTTGCAAAGCAAAAAAAAAGACAGCAAAAGAAAACAAGGAAGAGATCCAACCACTACAAGAATTCCTGATGCTCACTCTTCCTTCTATCCATTTGAAGATTTGAGCTCAGTAACATTGCTGCTACTGAGGCTCAACTTTCAAATATCCTTACCTGTGAGACCAATTCTATTAAGAATTTCATCACTTACTTATGTATGTGTATTGCGTATAGCTGTATAACATTGGAACTAACTCATGAAGAGAGCCACAACCTGAATTACTATGCTAACTACCTTCAGAAACCTAGGAGACTTATTATTGTACTTGACTCTTAAAAAAAAAACCCAAAACTTAAATAATCATGTACTTGCACAATAATTAAATTTGAAATTTAAGAGTAGCGTATGAGAAAAATATGTTGTTCCTTTAACAGAAACATCTATGGTATAATTTATTCATAACCAAGGACTCCTAGCATAGTTTTGTTTGCTTAGATTAAGACTACAAAACAGGTCCAGATCTTACATGTGATAATGGAAGCTACAGGAGTTCTGATTACTCTTACATCTCCTAAGGTAGCTCATGCGCTAATCACGACTGTGGTCATGTTTACTACCACATTTAGCTGCCACATATGGAGAATCCTCAAGTGATCTATTCAGGAGGTACAGATATATATTCAGATGAATAAGTCACCTTTACTTAGTTTCTTACCCTATTGTTGGGTTGATGTTGGGATCAAAGCTATCTTCTACAAACCTCCACACAATACTTGACTTGCCCACACCAGTGTCCTAAAAAAAAAAAAAAAAAAAAAAAAAAAAAAAAAAAAAAAAAAAAAGAAACAGTTGAAAGATACCTTAGTTACTATAAACAAAATATAATTTTCATCCTGAAATCTTGCAATGCTCTGCAGGAATGTATCTCAGACAAGTTAGATTCTGGAATACTCCAGATGTTATATTTGTTTAGTATAAGAATTAAAGGTCTCTGATAAATTAGTTTTCTAAGCAAAACTGTAAATATGTTTTTAATGAAGGACTATAAAAATCTGCATTCATGCTTATTATCGGTTATTCAAACATTATTTTTTTTTTTCCCCAAAAGCTATGCACAAATCGCATTTGGACAGGAGTTGGGAAAACCCATCTACCACTTTTAGAAAAATATACAGCAATTGATTGTGGTACTCCATTTTTGCAAGCCATTGGAGCACATTAAATTATACAAGTGTGACACATACATTTCAACCTCTGACTAATGCTGTCCCACCCTGCTTAATGAAAGACCTGAAATTTCTTCTGTGACGCACCTGAAACATGTTTCTAATGCAACTTTACAGAGCTATAAATGGTAAAAGAGGAAACATAACATGAAAATTCTGTGTTATGTATGCGTTTACACCACTGACTTCACAGCTTAAAAAAAAGTAAAAAAATTATAGAAGACGTATTTATGAGTGAAATAACTCAACAATTAGCAGTAAAACTGTTCGCAATAGTAGCTAGACATTTTAAGAGGTCATTTAATTAAGACAGGTGAAGACAAACTTTTCGCTTTACGTTTCCAGATTCATTAAAATTTTAATGAAAAAAAACCTGAGGAAACTGCTTCATTGAAAAATGAAGTTTTACACCATTCATGCATTTCCTTGAATCTTCTGAATATTGTAGTAAATTTAGGTATAGTATGTATGCTTGTGTTTAGCTTTTCAAGTGGTTTTACTCTCAAGGAAAATCATATTATCTCAGTTCTAGATTTCATAGTGTTTGCAGTCTCATTAAGCAACATAAATCCTAAATTAAAAAACATAGATGCAGTTCCTGTCTCTGGGAGTTCAAGGACCAGTTTTCCTGGGTGCTAACTCTCCTTCTCTTACATGACAAAAGGTTTCTCAGGTCGGGCGAACACAAACAAGTAGCTAGTAGTTACCCCAAATGTTTTCATACCACAAAGAGCATGGAAACACATCATTTTTTTCTCTTTTGAGGAGCAATGTGGCCATTTAGAAGCAGAAAACAATTCTGCCAGTCATACTGTGCAACACAGGCTTTAGACACAGGTGGAGACAGCTGAGGCTCTCCAGCAAAGCCCTCAGACCAAGCCAACACACAGCTTTATAGCCTTGATTTTTTTTAAACTTCTACATCACTTTGTTTGCCGTGTCCTTCTACCACCTACAACTCTAAGGGCATTTTCAAAGCCTACATATGTTGTTAAAAAAGAGTTCAGGCCCCTCCCTCTCTCCCACGAGTTTGATTTCAGGTGCTTTTTATTTATTTACTTTGTGAACTCCAAGCCCGAAACAACCTGTGACTGAAAAGGAAGCATATACTGGATGTACGTGCTTCCTCTCTTTTTTAAAAGGAACGCACCGGAAAAAAAGGAATGCTATTTACCTCTGGAAAACGCCCCCCTCCCGTGGAGGGGAGAGCCTTCCCAGCCACCTGGTCTCCTCAGGGGGACAGGGCTGGACAACCGGGGCGCGCTGGCAGCTCTGTCAGGCGTGAGGCCCACCCTCCACCCAGAGGGAGAGCTCCCCTTCAAAGCCTCCCCGGGGCTCATACAGAGGTTCTCTACCGCTAGAGAAAGCCTTTCGAGCCAGCCCCTCGGCAGACCCCTTCCCTCCTGTCGCCCCCAGCCCGCGCCGCGGCCCCGCGAAGAGCTGGCTGCAGATCACTTACCCCCAGAAGGCAAACTTTCAGCTCCCTCAGAGCCATGGCCGGGCAGGCTGCGCCTTTAACAAGCACCTGAGACACAGCCCAGAACGATCATAGTCCTTCCCGAGACACGCGTACAGGCAAGGCCTGCGGGGGCAGCCCCCCGGCTCCCCCACGCCGTGGTTACCAGTAAACCTCCCTCCTCAGGCTCCGCGGACGCGACGCCATCTTGGGCCGCCCGCCGGAGTCACCTGACCACGCCCCCGCCCGCCGCGGATTTCTTCCCTCTCTGGAGGCGCCGGCGGGTTCTGAGGGGCGATTCGCGCCCCTGCCCACACCCTGGCAGCGACTGTTTATTAAACCGGTCGCGGTTCAGCTGCGTGAGGGCTGACCCGGGGGCAGGAAGTACCGGCGGCTCCTCCCTTTGCCCTCCCGCTCCCCTCCTCCTCCTCGCCCATGTCCATTCCAAGATGGCCGGTAAGTGGGGCCGGCGGGCGGGCCGGCGG